AAACTTAAATATATGATGAAGTTGAATTTATACGTTTGTTGCGGGCAATTTTGTACATTGAGAGATTAAACGCGTGTGTCTCCTGAAATACCCACAAGAAACATGGTGGACTCGCTATGTGAGTCCACGTAAATAAATGACGAAACGAAGAGAACCAATATATATGTACAAACAAATAGCACAGTATTAACAATAAAAGAACACAAGTGGCAGAGGCAATAATGCGTGTGACAAATGTGAAAACTCTTATGGTACAATGAATGTGTAGTGAGTGAATGTGCGTATGAGCACGTGTGTGTGTGTGTGTGTGTGTGTTTGTGTGTGTGTGTGTTGTTCAAGCATTTCCCAAAAAGGAACGTGTTTTCCGCGAAAGATTCGCATGCAAACGTATAAGCAGAAAAAGTGAGAAGAGAATGATAAAAAAAAAATTATCCCACTATATTTAGGATCCTCAGAGCGTTCTCTAGAAATGTTCGGCAAAGCATCGGCTATTTGTAGTTAAATTCGAACTTTATATAATGCTAAATACATAATTACCTTCCGAGTATCCGATGAGTATCCACCTAAAATAAAAGAAAAAGTAAAAATCCCCCGTAAACCACTTAAATAGAGCTCACGCCATTGCGACTGGGTGTTAGTCAACTTTCAATCAAATGCGTGATAGAGGGTTAGGGTTTGCCTAATATAAGACTGTGTCTGCAGGTTGTTAATTTAGATGAGTGGGGCATCAGAGACTGATCACCTCTGATGGAGTAGACTTGGTGAGGGTAGTATGATATCTGAAAGACCCGAAACTGCCCAATGACCCAATTGAGAACATCACTGACGACGCCCTCTAGCGCTAAACAGCGTATATTCAATAAGAAGGATTTTCTTCTAGTTGGTTCACATGTTTTAAAAATTTAGTAAATTTTTATAAATTTATGAATAGAATTTTTTTCATATTTATTTCCTTATAAAGATGTAGATGATAAATAATACATTGCATTAGTTTTAATTAGTATTAGTTTTTAAAGTGTTGTAAATAAAAAAATCTCTTGTAAAAATCATTCCAATAAATAAATAATCATACTTATTATAAAACCCAGGTTGTGTGTGTGTGTGTGTGTGTGTGTGTTCGTTTATATATTGGATCGAATTTCGTGCATTTTTCATCCGATTTCAACAAAACTTCACAGGACTACGTAAAATTACCTTGCAGTGGTTCTAACAGCGCCAAAAATTGGAAAAACACAATTGTTTTTGCACGAAATCAATTTGAAAACACGATTAAGAGGAATCGTGAAAATGAAAGGGGGACAACTCATATCGAGTTATAGTTATCATAAAACCCAGGTTGTGTGTGTGTGTGTGTGTGTGTGTGTGTGTGAGTGTGGATCGGATTTCCTACATTTTCAAGCGATTTCAACAAAACTTCACATTTTTTTGGCAGGTAGTGTTTCTTATTGTCTCGCACATTTTTTTCTTTATTTTTACATTCAGAATGCTTTAAAAATTCCAATTACAAGACAATTCTTTATAATAAAATTCTATTCAATCAGTAGACTCATAACGATTGAAAACAATGTTTTTGTTTGAGTTTGGGTTTGACCAATTCGTAAAAAAAAAAAAACAAAATAAAAAAAAACTAATTAAGACATGCGTGTCCGTCAACCTTAAACAATAATCTTTGTCAATTTTATTTTTCAGTCTTTATGATGGTCGATACTTGATCTATCTCTTACTGTTACATCACCGGGCAACGCCGGGCTCTACTGCTAGTAATTAATATTATTATTGAAAATTCTGAAGAAGGAAAGAAACATGTATGAATTTACTTATTATCATATCCTTATGTATAATTCCAATAATTTCTTTTATAAACAATAAACATTGACAAAAAAAACCGTGTCATTGGAAAAAATCGGCGGTTTGTCACTAATTCTTATAGCGGGCACGTTTGCCAATCTCTCTCTCTGTTTCATTATATAATTAAAGCGCTAATAGGCGTAAAACTGTTTTTTTTTATGGATTTCATTGATGTTTCAGTCAGTTATGTGCCATGCGTGATACACACTTAGGCGATCAAATATCTTTCGATACATGTCTGACGAGGCAGATATTTTTTCCAGCAGTAGTTTGCTATTTCTTTCTGTGGTAGACCAGTTGCAATCCAAGGATACAGAATCTGGTCTCCTTTGCTATTTACCCATAGCTAGGAGGAGAAGAAGTGGATTCATACGTTTCCCACGTGTATTAGCATGTAAGTGAATGTAATGAATTCTAATGGAATTTGAACTCGGCTCTCCGATTCGTCAGTCCGTGCCGCTATCCATTGATGATTACACATTCTAGTTAATGGTAACTGTAAATATACGACAAACCAACAAGAGATAGATATCAATGCACCCTATTCTTAGCTTTACCGCCCATTTAAACCGAAGAGTTTATATCTCACGAAATAAATAAATAAACACGTGTTAGCGATTAAAATGTAGCTGTGACATTAATGAAATATAGACAGGGTTAAAAGTGAAAGCGGAACAATTGTTAAAACAAGTTGGGACACTCTATCTCTGAGGTTAGCATTTAGTCTATATCTTCTCCAAAGAGTGACAACAACCACTTCGGGATCCGACGTATATCTTGACATATTCCTAAAAAAAAACAAAAAAACTCCATTGCAGAGCATTTGGCATCCATGGGATTCAGCATCATTCCTGTTGGTAAGTATTTTCTTTTTGTCAAAAATATAAGCCACTATTCTACACGTGAAGATACAAAAAATATTTCAACTGACACCTAGTTACACTATTCACCCTCGGGTTCACCAGATTGAAAGCCCATTGTGTATGCGTTAGACATATTAAAGACATCAGTCACTACACAGCTCAATTATTTATTACCAGCTCTGTGACAGGCCTAGATAGATATATCCACGCAAATTCGCCAGCCTGTATCAGACTCCATACCATGTCGTGTAAACACCGTTACTGGGACGAGCTGCCAAGTACTGCGCTTAAATTCATGAAGTCAAGGTACCAAAGAAGAAAATACATCAGAACAATAACAATAAAAAATATTTATTGAAGAAGCCGAGAGAACCTATGTTAAGGTGTTTGAAAAGTGACCGAACCTCCGTTGCCAGACCAGGACGAGTAACATTGCAGATTCTTTCTTCGATTTTGTCAAGAATATTTAGAGATATACCAGAATTACCAGACCAGATGTGGCAATAATATTCAATGTATGAAACAATGGCAGACGTTTGAAGATGTAAGACTGTGAAAACAGCAGCAGTTTCTGTAAATGTCCCGATATAATTGTTCCAAGACGTATCAGTAGAAAACGTTAGGCGGAGAAAACTCAACGAGTTACTTTCTTGGTTAGCATTGGCCATGTAATTTCACCTGATACTTTTCTTTCAGGATATGCTGAGAGTGTTAAATTCTCCATGCTTTCTTTCCTCATTATATGCTCCATAAATTCCAGCTGTCTCTCATTAGTTGTTAGCATCAATTTCCATGCAGTTCTTATCTTTCATACAATTTCCTTTTTTTTGAAAAGTCATATCAGCTGATATCTAATTACTTCATTCACCAACGAGTTAACAAGATCAAAAGCTTTGGTTGTGTTAAAAAGAGTCTGCTACCATAATCAATCATATTAGTGACTCGTTGCGACCTCTACGGATAACATTCTCGGTTGACGCATATTGTCCTAAATTTACAGATTATTGATAAAATCCAAAGAAGAATCAGAAATATTATTGGTCTTGACCTGCCATCTCGGTTTCTGATACTTTTAATGTAGTTTTCGTGCACCTTTTCATAAATACTTTCCTGGTAACTGTTCGGATGAATCCGTCGCTATGATATATAAACTTTAAGAATTTAAGCGCAGTACTGGATTGGCGGCACGGTCTCACTATTTTATAGTTGATTTGGCTGGCTGTAACCGTAAGTTCAATTCTTTTCTCACTTCTGGAACTTTCTTCCGAATCAGTCCTTTCCAACCAACGTTGGTCTTCAAAATATTAAATGCAATGTCAATTGTCCTCTACTGTCTTCTTGATCACTCTTCGGTTGTTCTTGCGCCTTACTAAAGTTTTTTTTTTCTTTTTCCTTCGCACTCAGTAATCCCCCTTGCGTCTTAGTGGCTCTACCGCCTTGCATGGGGTGATATGATTTTTTTTTAATCTATACGAGATACCTAGATCGATATATTCACTCAGCATGTCGCGTAGACACCGTTATTCGAACGGAAGTAGGAGATAAAATATATGCAGTTTTCTTTTAATACTACAGTTCAACGGGTACAGGCTAAGGGTGAATATAGTAATAATGAGTGTGATATGAATTTAAAAGGAGTTGATAAGAAGTTCAGATTACGAGGATAATTACGGTGGATAACAACTGACTTTTAAATTGAAGAGGTTAAGTTCGTAGATTTTAGGGAACTATTCAGGCGGTCGCCTGTTCCAAAAAAAAAAAACAGTTCTAAGGGACTGATATGCAGGTTTGCCTTATATTTGGTCCGGGGAAATAATGAATGTTTCGATTCTGTTCGAATAGCTTCATGTGTCCTAGCATTAAATGTCATGTCAGATTAAACGCCGTTATTTGGACGAAGATCTCATATATCTGTCATTTTTCTGTACTTTTGTATATTTGATTCTCGATTTGGAAAGGTTTTTCCAGCGAGGAAATAATTACGACCAGGCGATGAGGAGGTTATGCAGGTAAACTTAGGACGAAAATGCTTGACTTTGAACTGTCGATCAAAACGTACAATAAAGAAATTTCCTAACATTTCGGACATTTCTTTGGCTGCCGAGCGATAATTGAAGATAAAGTCTCTTCTGATGTCTCATGACCACTTCCTAAACCATTCTCAAAGAGTTGTTCTTTTTTAGTATTATTCTGGTCTGGTTTTGGATTAAGTTTTTTATTTCTTTTATACATTTCATGATTCCATCTTGGTGGGTTGATGTGTACCATGTCGGATTTCACTTTTTCAAG